CCGTCCTTCATTTCACATAGCTCATACTCACGAACCAAGAGATTTATCCTCATTTTTTACCTAGTTGGTCCCTTTATATGTGACTTCCAATTTACCACTTCTCCTTAGTAGTTTACCAGCTTGAGATCTTTTCATATTCTCACCACTGATAGCATTGTATATTAGATTTTTGCTTTGGCATTCACATTTATGACAACAACTTATTCCTGTAAAACAAGGTAAGTGAACATTGTCATCATTAAAACCTTAGAATTTAACTTAACAGTATCTCCCTTTTTAATGATAACAATCAGAAGAGAATAAACATTAATTATGAGACTTCCCTTTTTATTTCACTTCCTAAGTTGCTCCCCTTGAGTTAATGCTTACTCCCCCTGAGAGCTTGATTTACTTCTCTACATGTTTACTTCTCTACCTGTTCTCCCCCTTTAACATCAATCAAAAAGGGAAAGAAAACAACCAAGCCAGGTAATATAGGAAGTAATAGACAGAAATAGTGTAGGAAAGGTAATGCCTTCAGCAGAGGCATAGGTTATACAGACCCAAGCAAAAAAAGGTTTGTTAGAACCACCAGCAAGCAAACAAAAAATAAGAAAAATGAAAATATTATTTTTGAACTCATCACACAAATACACATTAGCTTCTTCCCAGGAAGTACTTGAGAGTGTTGATCACTTTGGTGCATACGAAATCATAGGAATACTCGATATCTTTGACAAGCATATCCATATTTTCAGTCATAAAATTGAATGCCTTGTTCCTTGTCTCCGCGTAGCTCCTATATCCATTATGAGCTTAGCCACATCTGTACTTGTCTCCTTAGTAACATCCCTAATCTTATCTACCTGTTCCTTCATCTCAACCACTAACTGTTTTACCTCATCTAAATATTTCTGCATCTGCTACAAATTTTGAGAGGTAGTTGTGTGAGATGCTAGTTGTTCAGTTTGAACATCAACTGGTACTAGAATATTGTCAACTTTGGCGCGTTTAACCCATCCATCATCACCCAAGGTGTACCCCATCATTGAAAAGGCTGTCTTATCATAAGTCATGATAATGTGCTGGGGTATAAAGGGTGCCAAATCTACTTTCATAACTTCAAGATTGTGTGAGATGAGTATAACATATGGTAAACAAACAGCGGAGGAAGATATGTCTTTTATACTTTCAAGCATGTATTGGTGAATCCACACAAACCAATCTAGTCTTTTATTATTAACTACACAGTAAAGGACAAAAACATCTCTAGTGGATAAAGAGCTAAGGGACCCAGTTCTGGGGAGTAAAGTAGTAGCAATCATGTGGGCTAAGACACGATGTTCGAACTTTAGGTTCTTGGGGCCAATATCATGAGGGTTATCAGCTAAAAAGGTTTTGGCTTCTTCAAAGGATATTTCAAAATCTTTTGGCCAAGAATTTTGTACGAAAGCATCAAACCCACTAAACTTAGGAGAGAAAATCTTTTCAAATTGATAGAGTCCAAAACAATTCTACTGCCTAACACCATAGATTTCAAATCATCTTTGTCATTCACAAACAAGTTTGCATAAAACATCCTCGCAGGTTCCTCATAAACAGAGTTACCAACTATGTCAAACAGAGAAGAAAGATGTTGAAAATCAAATATAGAGGTCACATCACAGTGCAGATTTTTCATGAGAGAAAGACTTACAAACTGTCCATAAGACATAGATTTTGACTTGTAGGACTCAAACCTTGATTTTTCACTCGGGCCATAAAAGATCAACTTGTCCTCAGGTCTGAATTCAGTGTTCTCTACCTTTCCTTTCTTGCATGCAAACATTTTGGGGGTTTGATCTATAGGATCAAACTTACCAAAATTGTCCTTTCCATTGTTGTGAATAAAGCATTGGCATTTAAAAGGGTGAAAATAGTTAATATTGGGTTTCTTACCATTCCACAATTCATATAGTGTCTTTTTGAGGATTGGTCGAATCAGACACCTATTGATGATATGGCATGCTGTGCTTACTGCTTCTGCCCAGAAATGGTGAGTTAGAAAATTTTCTACAATCATGGTTTTTGCCATGTCCTATAAGGTTCTATTTTTATGCTCTACCACACCATTTTGCGGAGATCTTAAAAAAGAGAAGTTGTGAGAGATTCCTTGATTGTTGCAAAAGTTTTCAAAAGCTCTGCTATTAAATTCTTCTCCATGATCACTTCTGATAGAAGAGATGTAGTAACCCTTTTCTCATTAAACCTTCTTACAAAAAACTTAAAAATTCTTTAGAGCATCATCTATATGAATCAAAACATAACACATGTATATCCAGAGAAATCATTCACAATGACAAAAGCATATTTTCTATCACCTATGATTGCAGTTCTAGTTGGACCAAATAAATCCATATACAATAGTTTGAGAGGTTTTGAGGTGGAAACAAAATTCTTGATTTTTAAAGATGAGGGAGTTTATTTTCCTAGTTGACATGCATCACAAATATAATCCTTTGAAAAATCTAGTTTTGGAAGTCCAATAACGAGATCATATTAAGAAAGCTTTTGAACAGTATGCATGCTAGCATGACAAAGTTTTCTGTGCCAGACCCAGGGATCATCAACTATGGATGCAAGACAAATTTGATCCCCAAGATTATCTAAGTTACTAATAATATAGACATTTCTATCTGTATTACCTAAAAAAATGACTTTACCTGATTCATCTTCTATAAACCAACCATGTTTCTTAAAATGAACCTCGTAGTCATTGTCACATAGTTGACTAATGCTGAGAAGAATGTAGCCGAGTTCATCAACCAGGTAGACTTTATCTACATCATATGTTGAGCTTAGAGGAACTTTTCTGACACCAATTACATTTCCTTTGATTTGTCTCCAAATGTGACTGTTCCTCCATCTAGTTTGGTGACTGTCTTGAACATTTGTTAGTCACCAGTCATATGTCTGAAACACGCGCTATTATGATACCATTTTCCTTTTCGATTCTTCTTGCGGTGTTCTTACAAAACTAAATTACTTATTTTTAGGTACCCAAACTTGCTTGGGTCCTGAAAGGTTAGAATGCTGAGTGTCAGTTTGATTTGAAGATTTGGGTCGCCAGACCCATCTCCTATCATCCTCGAACCTACAGTGATTTGAGGTGTGACCTTTTAAACCATAATAAAAACAAGACGGACTATATGAATTTTCAGAGTCTTTTTCAGCTTTGATTCTATTCCTACATTGGTTAGTACTATGACCATTTTTACCACAAAAGGAATATGCATGAAATTTCTTCTATTTGTGATGAACATCTTGATTTGATTTATCTAAACTATGACAAGTGGATTTTTGCAATCCATTCAATTGAAGTTGAAGTTTATTAACTTCTTCATGTAGCATATCACGTTCAATTTCACAAACTTTTAGCTTCAGGGCCCATTCTTTCTTTTTTTCTTTGAATCTTTCTGAGTTCATTTAGAACTCTTTCAATATCTGCAAGAGCAATATCAACAAATTCTTGAAGTTCATAACAATTAGGGCAATTTGGGGGATGTATCTCACTAGTTCCCTCATCTTCCATGAGACCAAGTTGATCTGAGTCTTCCTCTTCATATGCTCATCTGTTTCCTGAGAATCCACACTCTCCTGATTCTTCATTGCTATTATCTTCTATAGCCATGAAGCACATATTTGCAATTTATTCATGATCAGACTCTTCTTCATCACTCCAGGCTCCAAAAGACTTCTTCCTTTGAAGGTTCCTGCTCAGTTTCTTCTTTAGTTTTGGACAATCAACTTGAATGTGTCAGTGTTTTTCACATTCGTAGCATCTTCCATTATTTTCATTGTTTATACTTCCCTTTCTAAAGTTTGGATTACCTCTTCTGCTATTTCTGTTTTTCTTCATCATGCTAGTTACAGCTTGAGAAAGCATGGCTATATTTTCAACATGTTCTCCTCCTTCATCTCCTTCTTCATCTTCTGATTCAGCCGCAGTTGCTTTGAAGGCAACTGTTTTTTTCTTTCTTTGTTGAATCTGTCTATCGAAATGAGTTTTCTCAAAAGCTATTAAATCACCTCTGAGTTCATCATAGGACATTTTGTCAAGTTCCTGACATTCGAGAGCGATGACCTTTGGCTGCCAAATCGTAGGTAGACTTCTAAGAATTGTTGTAACTTGTTTTCTGCTTTTTATTGTTCTACCAAAAGATTTGAGATCTCCAAGAATTTTGCTGAACCTGGAGAACATTTCTTCAGCAGATTCTCCATCCTTTATTTCACATAGCTCATACTCACGAACCAAGAGATTTATCCTCGTTTTTTACCTTGTTGGTCCCTTCATATGCGACTTCCAATTTACCACTTCTCCTTAGTAGTTTACCAGTTTGAGATCTTTTCATATTCTTCACCACTGATGGTATTGTACAACAGATTTTTGCTTTGGCATTCACAGTTATGACAACAACTTGCTCATCAATGTAGTCATATAAATCGAGTGGATCAGTGGATATTATTACTTGACCCTTCTCATCTTTCTTTGGGAGAATTGGAAGATTTCCCTTTTTGATCACCGTCAGACTTTGATGTCATATGACGTGGTGTATGTTTCCATACGAACTTTTCAATGAGAGAAGTATTGTCCATTGAAGTATGATGGTCGAACTTGAGAGGTTCCCTCTTGAAATAGTGCATCAACAACTATGTTTGATCCCATGATCTTTTCCTCACTGGCTGTTACACTACCAGAAAATAGGTCTATTGGAACAGATTCTATAGCAACGATTGTATAACTGTTACAACCGTGGCATTATCCTTTCCACCCTGTTGAGACAGTTCCCAATAACACCGTTACAATAGTACAATAACCGTTGCAATAGATGAATCTACGGCAACAATACCCTAAACCCTAAATACACATGTGTATGCAAGTCAAATACACATGTCATATGTTTATTGGGTTTGTGTAAACACGAGTCGGGGTATGCTTTTTCTGTAAAACAATCATGTCTCTCAAAAGCAAAGCAAAGACTAGTGTCTCACTCCAGTCAGTTACACCAAACACCAGGACAAACTATTTTGCAATATTTTCTTCTGTCTACCAAACAATAATGTGAAAAGAAGTTTGAGCTTCTCACCTTCCAAAGATAGAGTGCATCGACAAATGAGAGTTCTATGCGGAAAAGTACCATTAGCATGCGTAACGCAAATAGATATTCTCCACCATCTAACTCCTCTGGCAATTACAATTGAAGTCGGTGAGTGAGAGAAAGAGTTAACTCTATGCTAGACTTTCTCCTCCCTGTTTTAGACTCTGGTCAAGATTGCAGTTTATGAATTCCTTAAACAATTTAGATTGCCAAGATATTTCCATGAAATTTTTCTTCTCTATCCCAGTGTCCCAAACAACATATATGAGGGCCATTTTTAACATGGAAAATCCATTCTTCACCATGATTAACATTACGATATGTGTGTTTGGCTCCAACTTAATAAATGGTATAGACATTCAAATTATACATCAGAATCTGCAAAAGGACTGCTAGATGATTTAATTTAATTTAAGTTTTTGATAGGTGCTAAACAACATGTTTATACTTTATATTGCCTGCATCACTTCAAGTATAATATGTAGGTCTTGTGGCAGTCAATAACAAACTTGGACTGCATGTATTAAAAGCTTAACAAGATAAATCACGATTTTATAGAACATATCGTCAGAATGCATAGCAGGCTTTAGAATCAAGTCACAATATGTAATGTGTAAAGCCAATTAATACTATTATTGAAGTGAGTGACCATCTCATCTAAAAACTTAAACTGTTAGAGAAACACATTTTTATTTACTTAATTATGTCCTTAACACGCCCCCTCACGTGTGGGTTTGATTCTTTTTTATGAGCCAAGCACGTGAAAATTCTTTTTGATATTTGGATGGCGGTGAGACTCAAACCTAGAACTTCTGCCTGCTTTAATACCATGTTGAAGTATGTGACCATCTCATCTAAAAGTGTAAGTAGTTAGAGAGAACTACAGTAGAATGAGACAGGATAAAAGCAAAAGCTGAAGCATATATAGAAACCAAGTTGTGCAGCCTCTAACAGCAATAAGTTAAATTTCTCTAAAATACAAAGCGCTCTAACTCACAAAAAGCCCAAAATTTTCACCAAGACCTATACTAGATATTATTTATCTATCTAGTACTGAGAACTATATGATATGGCATGCTAGGAAAATTAACAGCGTTGACAAGACCTTGTGTTCTCTACTTCTTACATGGGAATAGCTACTGGAAAATATATAAAGAAAAGCAACCGCTTACCAAGGTGTTGATGAAGCTTCGGATCAACAGTTTTAACAATTTGTGCAAGGGTACTTAGTTGAGATTGCACTCCTATCGAATTTGTGGTGCACTTGAAATTTTCTCGCTGTTGATGAAGCATACATGGATTTGTTATATGCTAGGTAATGGCAGAAACATAGGAAATAATTAGCAAAAACATTGAACAACTTTTTAGAAAGAGTTACTAAAGACCACATAAATATATGTGCAAGTTTATTGGGGACGCATTATCCATTTTAGGTTTGCAACACGTCCTATCACATTTTTCTCTCGCGCCAATGAGCGGCACATAGACTTGAACTTAAGACTTTAACTTTTCTCTGATTTTGAATTTTGTGACAATCTTATCTACAAACTTAAGATGTTAGAGAAGGAACACATTTATTTATTCATTTATTTTAAGGAATAAATTTATTTATTCATTTGTTTTAGGTCGGTAACAACCATGAATAGAAACAATGAAGGCATACCAATCTACGCATTGCACGTTCGAAGCACCAGAATGCATCTGCTTCATTCTCAAGTAGAATAACCATTGGGGAGCAAATGTCAGTCATCCCTGTGCAGATAAAATAAGGGCAAAAGTTTTATGAATGACTTTGATATTTTTTTTTTGGATGACCGAGAAATTCGTTTAGAGCCGATCCTTTGGACTAATCGCAACCTTCGAAACTCGGTGGATAATGGGCCCGCCCCTCTACCCTTCTCCACTTAGGCTTTGATATTATTAAAAATTAGTTTCTAAAATACTGATAAAATACCTTGAACATAACCAATATCTTTATCCATCCATGCATAGACAGCAAGCACGTCCCAGAGTTTTGCTTGATTAGCTTGATTTTCATAAAATACAAGAGCACGATCTGTGCGAACAACATCCAGACCTAAAGCCTAAATTGCTTGTAAGGGAAGCGTATCAAGCTAATAGAAATAAAAGAATATTTAAGAGAGAAAAGTAATAAATTGTACAAGACAAGATAAGACAAGATTTACGTGGTTCGGCAATTTTTGCCTACTCCATGGCCACACAAAGAATAACTTTTTATTAATTGAAGAGAGAAAGAAGAAGTTTTGGGATGTTCTACAAATGAAAATGTAGACCCCTATTTATAAGCATTTGAATGCCCTGCCGAGGTAAGCGCTTACATCATAAGAATGCCGACGTAAGCGCTTACATCATAAGAATGCTGAGGTAAGCGCTTACATCACAAGAATGTCGATGTAAGCGCTTACATCATATTTTCATCTCTTTTTGATTTTTCTTTCTTTTGTTTTGTCTACTTTCACATACAACAATANNTCTCAGTTTGTCAACACCGACAACTTTGGTCAACATGTCTGACGGGTTCTTTGATCCTGGTATCTTCTGTAGGGAAAGAGTTCCTTCATTTATCAACTTTCGGATATGATGATACCTCAACTGGATATGCTTCGATCTTGTATGAAACAGTAGATTCTTGGCAAGATGAATTGCACTCTGGCTATCGCTGAAAAGCTCACAATTGTCCTGCTCTTTACCTAACTCTTTAAGAAAATTCTTGAGCCAAATCATCTCTTTTCCAGCTTCTGAGATTGCCATGTACTCTACTTCAGTGGTAGATAGAGCAACACTTTTCTGAAGTCTGGACATCCCACTAACAGCAGTACCACCCAAGGTGAACACGTAGCCCGTGGTACTTTTTCGACTATCCAGATCGCCACCTAAATTTGCATCAGCAAAACCTTGTAAGATAATATTGCTCTTTTTAAAACAAAGTGTCAGACCTGAGGTGCCTTTGAGATATCGCAATATCCATTTTACATCTTCCCAATGCTCCTTCCCTGGATCTGACATGTATCTACTGACAACTCCAACTGCATGGGCTATGTCAGGTCTAGTGCAAACCATAGCATACATCAAACTTCCTACTGCTGAAGCATACGGAACTTTGGACATGTACTTCCTTTCTTCATCTGTCTTAGGTGATTGGTCCTTTGACAGATTTAGATGGCTTCCAAGTGGAGTGCTTCTGGTTTTTGCATCATGAAGACTGAACCTGCTTAGTACCTTCTGTATGTACTTTTCTTGAGACAACTTTAAGGTTCCTTCCGACCTGTTTCTGCTAATCCTCATCCCAAGCATTTGCTTAGCTGGTCCTAAGTCTTTCATTTCAAACTCCTCCGCCAGTTGTTGCTTAACCAAGTTGATTTCATTTATGCTAGATCCTACAATTAGCATATCATCAACGTAAAACAATAAAATGATATAGGATTCATCAAGATTTTTGATATAACAGCAATGGTCCATCTCACATCGTGTGAAACCATTTTTATGCATGAATCCAGAAACTTGAAAACCTTCAGGTTGCTTCATGTAGATGTCTTGTTCAAGGTCACCATGCAAGAAAGCAGTTTTAACATCTAGCTGCTCCAAATACAAATTTTCTGCAGCTACGATACTTAGCACCAACCTGATAGTAGTTAATTTGACTACAGGAGAGAAGATCTCGGTGTAGTCAATTCCTTCTTTCTGCTGAAAGCCTTTTACTACTAATCGTGCTTTGTATATATTCTTAACATCATGCTCTTCCTTGACTCTATACACCCACTTGTTCTGCAATGCCTTCTTTCCTTTTGGTAACTCCGTAAGTATCCATGTTTTATTCTTTTGAAGAGAATTCATCTCTTCTTTCATGGCTAGCTTCCACTTATCAGAGTCTATCACCTGCATTGCTTCAACAAAATGCTCTGGTTCTCCAGCATCAGTAAGAAGTAAATAGTGAAGAGAGAGAGTTAACCTATCTGGAGCATTCGTGACTCTTTTAGATCTCCTCAATGTAGGTTCATGAGTAACAGAATCCGAATTTGATTCAGGTCCTAATTCCAGATTTGGTTCTGGATTTGATTCTATCTCTGGTTCCGCTTTAGGTTCGGCTTCTAGTTCTTCTTCAAATTCGGCTTCTGGTTCTTCATCTTCAATTTCAGAATCAGTTGTAATCCCTCTATCCACTTCATTTTCTGAGATTTCTTCTAACTCAACTGTTTCAAATATTGTCTGTTTGCTGGTGTTGGTTGGTTCTACTTCAAGCTTGTCCTTGTACATCACATTTTCATTAAATGTGACATTCCTGTGTCTTAGGATCTTTCTATTATGATCATCCCAAAACCGATAACCAAAAATTATCATCACCATAGCCAATAAAGAAACATTTCTTTGCTTTAGGATCAAGCTTATCTCTATCATTAGAGTTTACATGCACATAAGCAACACAACAAAAAAAATTTCAGATGTGAGAGAGTTACCTCCTTTCCTGTCCATACCTCCTCAGGAATTTCAAAATTCAGCGGTACAGAGGTTCCCCTGTTTATGAGGTAAGTTGCCGTGTTAATAGCCTCAGCCCAAAAATACTTCGGCAATACAGAATGTATTCTCATACTTCTGGCTCGTTCATTCAGGGTTCTGTTCATCCTCTCAGCAACACCATTTTGTTCCGGTGTTCCAGGAACTGTCTTGATCATTCTGATCCCATTCTCCGAGCAAAATGCTTTGAACTCTTGGCTATCATACTCTCCTCCATTGTCAGACTTCAGACATTTTAACTTTAGACTTGTCTGATTTTCAACTTCAGCTTTCCATCTTTTAAAGGTAACAAACACATCAGATTTATTTTTCAGAAAATAAACCCATACCTTTCTTGTGGAATCATCAATGAAGGTGACATAATAGCGTGAGCCTCCTAGAGAAGTTACAGGAGCTGGTCCCCACACATCTGTATGCACTAGTTCCAGCTTCTCTTTCTTTGGCGTCCTTCCCACCTTTGAGAAACTAACTCTCTTTTGTTTCCCGTAAATGCAATCTTCGCACAAACCTAATTCAACATGTTTTAGGTTTGACAACTTTTCTTTGGATGCCAAAAGCTTCATTCCCTTCTCACTCATATGCCCGAGCCTCCGGTGCCACAATGTTGTATCACGACCATGATCAACTGTTGCTATAGTATCTCTTTCTATTGCAGTTGCATACAGTGTTCCCCTTTTGAAGCCTCGTGCCACAACCAAATTCCCTTTGGTTATCTTCCACGATCCGTTGCCGAATGTTGTTGTATATCCTTCATCATCAATATGACCCATAGATATCAGATTTTTCTTGAGGCCAGGAACATGTCGTACATTTTGCAATTTCCATAGCATGCCTTGTGAAGTCTTTATATGAACTTCACCTTTTCCGGCAATGTCGAGAGGTTCTCCATCTGCTAGATAAACTTTTCCAATTTTTCCAGCAATATAATTATGCAATAATTCTTTGCATGATGTAGAGTGAAAGGATGCACCTGAGTCCAGAATCCAAGATTCGACTGGACTGTCTGCACAACAAATTAGTGCATCACCGACTTGTTCAGCAATTACATTTGCTGAATTTTCTTCCTTCTTCTTCTTTGGTTCTCTACATTGACTACTGTAGTGACCCTTTTTATCGCAATTCCAACAAGTAATCTCCTTGCGATTTTTGGATTGTCCTCTTCTCCTTGACTTTGATCTGCCACGACCATAAATCTGTCCTCTTTGGTTGATTCTCCCCCTGCTTTCGGTACTAAAAGCAGATCCTGGGGAATCACTTGATTCTCTTCGGCGAATATCTTCGCTTAGAACCAAGTCTCTAATATCATTCAATTTGAGTTTGGTACTTCCTGATGAACTGCTAACTGCAGTTACTGTTGCAGACCAACTCTCCGGTAGAGATGATAGTAGAATCAACGCCCTGATTTCGTCATCAATTGTTATATTAACAGAACTCAACTGAGTTAATATTGTATTAAACTCATTGATATGTTCCGTGACTGATCCACCTTCCGTCATTTTTAAGTTGAATAATCGACGCATCAAATAGACTTTATTGAAGTAGATGGCTTCTCATACATATTTGATAACGCCTTCATCAGGCCTGCAGTGGTCTTCTCGTTAATGATGTTAAACGCCACATTTCGTGTTAGTGTCAAACGAATCACACCAAGAGCTTGGCGATCTAATAGATCCCAATCCGCTTTGGACATAGTCTCCGGTTTCACCTCGGTCAGAGGTAAGTGTAATTTTTTCTAATACAAATAGTTCTCTATTTGCATTTTCCAGAATCCAAAATCTTTGCCATTGAACTTGTCAATCTTAACATTCCCTTCTTCCGATGCCATTTTTCACAAAAAA